CACCATCCACGCTGTCGGCCCCGACACGCCGCAGCACTGCCGCGTAATCCCGGAGAATGAAATGAATTATTCATTCGTTCGAGACGCTAAACTCGATACTCGCATCCAGCGAGAAGGCGAGAAGGCGAGAAAGGAGAAAAAGCGGAAAGCCATTTGTTTCACCGAAAGCTGGAAATTGGAGGTACCACCCCTTCGCCGACTACGCTCGTCGTTGTTGATCGACCTACCTTTCGACTCGAATCCAGAAGACGAATCCAACGTTAGCTCGATTCGCTTTCGAACCATATTTTATCCGAAAAATCGCACGTTGGATATCGTTAAGGTAGCCGCATGCTTTTACACGATATTCAGTACGCCAGTCTTTCCGTAAAAAATGCGTAAAAATTCATGGCTATTAAGGGGTCGTAATTTTAGTAATTTCTCTGCTCTACTCTTTATTTCTTCTGACCACGACTCGCGAATAAGACGAAGCGCAGTTCGATGTTAGATCACGAGGTCTTACATCGAGCAAAACGAAAATCCAACTAGGGAAGATCCTTCTCTCAGGGCCAATTGGACAGTCCATCGGTTCACCGACAAGAACGCTTCTTTGGCAATTAGAGGAACTTTTTTCGATAAAAAGGCTGCCGTTCCGATGCGTATGTCGAAGGGTTTAGGCGTTGGATGGTCTTTCCGTGACGATCCAGTCTTGGATGCAGGTTTCTCGTTCTTCTCGAAACGTGCAACAAGGAGAATACAATCGGTGAGTATTTCGATTAATGCTCGGACTTAGCGCCGTCGACGCGCACGATTCTCGGTAACGTTTAAAAAGGTGGACGTAAAAATATGAGTCCGAATTTTTCCAAGGTTCTAGCGTCCGTAATTACGGATCCCGGAGGGAGCCGGTAATTGGACTAGATGAAAAAAGATGCTGCGCAAAGAGAGTCTCCTTCGCGATTAAATGGCGGCCGTTTGCGAGAACGTTGGTCAGGGCGATCCTGGTCGGAGAAAAACTGCGTCGTCTCGACGTTCATCTGCAGTTTCGCGTAGCTCTGCAAGACCCGTGACCTTTGAGATCGGGCGGAGCTCCCGCGTTAGTGATCGACGAGGATCGATTACCACTTTTGGTAATTGGACACGTTTCTAGAATCGCTCGGGAGGCGGTTTTCGAAGCAGATTGGTTCTTCGGCACGGAACAATGGAGCAGGAGAATTTCGTAACGACGAAAGCGATACAGGGGACAATTGATTAACGTCCCAGTTTCCTTTGTCGCCGTGTTCCGCGACAACAGCGAATTTGTCGGAGAAAACCGTCATGAGACGCACGGATAGAACGACCAAGCGCGAGGGGGTGTTCCTATTTTATCTGGCTTAAAGCCTGCCAGGGATCTGAAGCGGCCTTTTCTTCTATCCGGTTACTCGTACAGCCCCGAGCGACAGACTCGAGCTCTGAGCGACGTCGTTTGCCCGCAAACAACGTACTTTACGCAATCCCTGGCCCCTTTTAACGATATCAATTGCAAGTTGAGAGAAAAGAAAGGCCAGAGTCTCGCGCGTTAGATATCGAAACTTGTCCGATACGTTAACGCGACGTTTTCGTATCGATACGCATCGGTATAGAAAAGTCTGTCGTTCAATTGATTTCTGTCGAGACAGACGCGATCGCGTACTCGTATTTTTCCAACAAAACGTCGCGCTCGCTTGACTTTCTAGAAAGATTCCTCCACGGCGGTCGTGGCCAAAGAGGATATAAATGCCATGGAGGAAAAGGGTAGAAAAAAATTTCACCAGGGGGCAATTGAATTATTCCGGTCATGGACGGCCGCGAAGCTGTCAGTAGAGGCAGCCTGTTCGTGTCAGACGCGGCGGCGTAGCTCCTACGTCTGACTTTGTCAGCAGTTCCGATCGGAAGCGGAGCTTTTCCCCTGACATTTATCCGCGTCCGTGCACATAATTTTCCATTTGGTCGGTGGACGTCGAATATCGTGCGTGTGCTAAGCCAGAATTCGTGACATCGTACACGTCGAGAGGAATCGGAGCGGAAATAGATGCGAATCGGAAATAAAAATAGATTTAACGCGTAATCTTCTGACGTCGTGAATTACGTTACGCGAGTTACGTTATTATTCGGGTTGGAGCGGTTCGGGATGAAACAGCATTATAAATCTCGTCGAAACATGGAGCCTGTGACGCGATCACCGATTAGATGACAATGTATAAATCTAGAATTTTTTAAAACTACGCGATATTAATTTTCGTTGTTACACTCCATCTACTGAACCGAAACAAATTCGTCAAAGGCGGAGTGATTTCGTGTGAACAGTTTTCAACAGATCGCGTAAATAATTCGCTTTCCGCCATGACGCGCTCTGGAAACATTTATATAATTAGGCGTTATTGTCCGTTAATAGCTCGCCATCGGAAACAGAACTCGCAGAGGAAAGGCTTCGGGGGAGGGGGGATACGCGTGTTGATCATTTGGTGAATCGGTGCAACGAAATGGGGCTTTGGAGCCGGCGGCGGACGATGGTCGACCCTTCGATTGTTAATTCTATCGCGTCGAACGCGAAAAGTCTCCCCTTCGCGCTACAAAACCGAATCGGCCGAAAGGGTGGCCGAGTCGAGAACGTCGATATCGAAGTCGTTATCGCGTGGCCGGGCAACGAGCACGAACATTGACACCGGTCTCCGTCTCGCTTCGAGTAATTTAGCTAAATTAGCCAAACAGCCGCGCCAATTTTCTCGCGGCCCCAACGGCGAATCTAAACTTATCGGAGATCGAAATTAATTATTCGGAGGAATCCTTTTCCTTTCTGAAACGGAACGCATATTTTCATGGCATCTTTTGAAATTAAAAAAATGTTTTCCTTTATGCTTCGTGAGTAACAGGTACTTAAATTAGAAAATCAACATATTTGTAAAGTGCTCTTGGTTGCGCAAACCGAAGCTTCGTAAACTTCACGGTAGACCCTACCCCTAACCATTCTCGCTTCCATGTGTGACACGTGTTTGTCACGGTGCTATGTGAAAGTAAATAGCCTTCGTTACACGATATTGCAAAACTAATAATTTTTGAAAAGCCAACGATTGTCAGTTGACTGATTGTGAGAGGAATGGTTGCAAAGACAAGCCGAGGTTGCGAGTAGCGTTTTTCCTTGACAAATTGCAGAGCAATTGACAGAGGTAATCGACGTACGATGAAACGTAATTCAACGAACACTATTTTATCGTAGAATATTAAACTGAATCAGGAAACGCGGGTGCCCGATTATCTCGAATCAAGGGAGACGGATCGCGGCAAAGATCGTTAACTATTGCCCTCGCGCTTCCAACTAAGTGGATTAACGCAATTCTGAGCTATTAAAATCCTCGTAATCTTGCCAGGTGGCTATTATCCGCAGGCTCGACGCGCGGCGCGACCATGAGATTATGTTTCTTGATAATTGCGATCGATCGGACGGGGAATTGGCGGCAAATTACGAGGAGAACGTGGGTCGCCAATTGGAATTCGTCCCCTGTGACTTTCCGCGAAATACGAGTTTAAACATACGTTCTCATATATATTTGTTTAACTCGTTCTCGACTTTCCAGGGCCGATCGAACAAATTACTCCCTCCGATGTCTCGTTGGCGTAAGTTTGACTAAAGTCGACGCGCTAGGTGATGGAAAACGTACACGAGTCCAGGCTGCTGATCGCGCTACAGCCTCCATATCTCTCTTACACTCGAACGCGACCGGATCCCCACAAATTTATACGAACGGTTAGTTCCGGGGTAGTTTGAATGGCGCCACCTCCGCTGGAATCAGAGTTTCCATCCCTTCCATCCCCGTGATTCGACCAGCCAGTTTCGCGTACCTCTCTTGCTCTTATCCACGATTGCGGCTCGAATCAGGCGAGTCGCAGGTCTCGAAAGGTTGAGCTAGGTCGGTCGTAGGTTAAGCCGGGATAAATACAGCCTCATAACTTGCTCTCTCCTTTCCTGTTTCTGGCTCACCTTTGCCTTCGTCTTCTCGCGTGCTACTCGTCCTTCCCGTGATAGTTCCGTTGAATCGTCCCTCTTTAACTCCGGACTGTTCTCCATCCTGTGATTTCGATCGTTCTTCTTGGCTTCTCGAATCCGACGCGAAGTCTCCGTCCCTTGGATGCTCCGGCAACTTCTCGAGCCTGGAGCACCGCGTGTTCCGAGATTCTTCGACGCGATTCCTCTGATTCCTCTTCCATCTTTTCAGGTTCTCCCGACTTTTTAAGATCGTTATTCCGGTTTTCTTCGCGATTTTATCGTTTGGATGTTATCGCCTATTTTCTGAGTTTCTCGAGTCTCGCGCAGCTCCCTCCTTCCGTCTTCTATCAAAGTTTTTCAAGTCAAACGCGACCTTTTCTTCGAGCTGTTCAACTACGACACGATTGCCTTTCTATTTTTGCAAGTTGGCCAAATTTCTCGAGCAAGATCGGATCTTTTTCCCATTGTCGTTCGATTCTTCGTCTTTAACGAGAGATCGTTCCGTTGGTTTCGCCTCTTCGTCGACAATCCTTTTCGAGAGTTGTTTAGGTTCGCTGCGATCTCTTCTCCTCTCTACCGGCGTGTTTTCGTCGCGGTTAAGGTTAAAATCGTGTTCACGTTTTTACAAAATCTCTCGACTTTGTCTCCGTCGCTCTCGAGGAGCAGATATTCTTCTCGAGATTCTCCGTTGGACGGGTTAGGGTCTCCTTGGCACACCGTTCGGAGCGAGCCGCTCGAGCGGAAAAGTGGCGTTTGAGGCTCGCAACGTGCTCTGCAAGACAAATTAAGGCCGGTCCGAGGGCTGCCCGGGAAACGAGAGGGGATTTAGCGACGTCAAAGAGGCGGCTGGCCACTCGACCGTGAATTATGCAGGATTTTCTTAAGATTGCTCTTTAACGACTTCGTCATCGCGCCTCTGCTCGTGCATTCGATTAATTTCTTTGGGATTACGGGTCGGTGATTAAAGAATGCCTCAATTTTCGCAGCAGGAAATTTTATTTGATTATTTGTTTTTACGGTAGTCGGTAGCCCTTTCCACTGAAATAAGACTAGCAAGATGTAACGTTTTCCAACCTCGTAATATTTACGAATATTTGTACGCGTACCGTTTTAAACTCGAGACTGCGATCGTTGCGTTCCGATGAAAAAAATTAAGGATTACGTTTATCTCGTATTATACGTAATATATACATAAACTACAACTTGTTCGCCCTCGGCGGTGAGAAAGGCGGGAAACGTTGATGGAAACCCGGACCTGGAAACAAGGCTAGTTCCTTTGGCTGGTGGAGGGCAGCTGCCGTAAAACCGGTATAAAGCTCGCGTTTAAAATTAACGATTCGTTCCTCATTTTTTTCAGCACTCTTTTTTCCTTTCGTTCCGGAGCCACTCGGTACGAAATAAAATAAGAGATTTACCATGCGCCGAGAAACGCATCAAAATTTCGCCAGCTTCAAACTTCAGCACAGGCTGACCTATAAACAAAAGGCGTGTTACGGCCAAGGACCGCAGGGAAACGAGCCATTAAATTATTTAACTCCTGGTAAATTAGATCTTACCGCCGCTGGGCCACGGCAACGTTCTCTGGAACAAGGGTCCGTCGGGAAGCCAAGGGAAACGTGCGTTTGCAACGCCAGCGTCGACGTCGGTATTTCTCTACCTTTTCGAGCAGACGAGAAAAATTCCTGTCGCTTTTTACTCGGCCTACCTGCAAGCGAAGCGAATCCAATTATTCCCAACCCATGCGCAGACGCAATTACGGATACCAATTTCAGTAATGTCCCCCAAGTGAACCGCAACTGCCCCGGGAAGCCTACAGCGAAACTATTTTCAGTCGAGGGATTCGTAATCGGGGTGGTCCTCGGCGATGGTACCCGCGTCGAGCGAGCTGGGAATGATTCGACAACAGAAACTGCTAAGCGAATGGAAGCGAATATTTTTGTCCCTCGAAAGTAACGCGTTGCAAGCGCAATCGCTAAGCCAGCGTTTAGCGATACCCTAAGAACAAGGAAGGATGATAAACAGAGGAAACGAGGAAATTGAAATTCTATTCTCGTTTCCCGGTGATAGCGCGTAAAGCCGATGCTGTTATCCTCGAACGCGAGAAACGAGCATCGAGAAGAGCCCAGGGTGGTGGGAAAAGACGGAGCAAATTCTCGTAGTTCTCGTTCTCGTTCTCGTCCTCTCGAGCTTTTCGCAAGAAGAAACTTTCCGCGTTCGCGAAGACGAGTCGCGACCCTAGGTGCAGTTACATCTGGATAGAAACAATCCGAAGGATCGCGTCGCTGAAATGATGACGTGCGAAAACCGGTAGGACGGTGCGACGACAGAGGGTAATTCCGACCTCGTTGGAATTTCGTGCGGCAATTAAATTAAACGTCCCCTTGCATACCGAAATGTTCCTTCCTTCCCCTTGATGTGCGCCTACGTGTGCACGGAATGCAACAAGGTGCTCGTTGAACAGCTACGACGCGCGGGATGGTGCGACCGGATGCCATTCGCTTGCGAGATTTCTTGACAATTACAGCACAAAATTCGCTGTAACGTTACGTTACGACCAGGTCGCGGTACGAGACGCTCTAATAAGGTCCTAGTAGAAGACTGTAGTAGAACCGACGACGCTTCGATGCGAACGACTCTCGGCCAATTGAAATTTTCGTTATTAAATCAAGCTGGAACTTGTAACAGCTTTCCGATGACTCTTTCGTCGTCTATTAACTCTAAACCACCGCCCTAGCTCGAGGATCGATCGGTCTTAATCGATCTTGGAATATTCAGCCGATAGTCGGCAAATATTTGCCACGTCGCGAACAGCGTTGTCGGCCTTAAGTGAAATTAGAATTGCTTTCGTTTCTTCGAAATCGATCGACGGAAAAGTGTAGTCTCCGAGCGTCCAGGCGAGCTAGATGTAATTATGTAAATGGCGTGAGTGCATTGCAAGACGTTCCAGTCGCGAGACCAGGTTGACTGTATCGATCAACCCGGCGTTAACGTCGAACCGAGGCAACGCTAATTACAACCCGGCAAGAAGGATGTGTTTCGCGTTTAGGCTATCGCGACGTGACATGCTTTTATTAGCGCTCGTCGCTCTTGGTTAATCCCACCGGTTTAAAAGCTGCTGGCAACCGTCAAATTAACCCTCTAGCGAGGCAGAGCTCGATGCGTCCCGATCGAATCTCGTTTCGGGAAGGAACGAGAAAAGATTCGAGAAAGGACAAAGATTAACGACGACTTTCGTCGGATTACGCGAATTACGCGAGCGGACAGACCAGCCAAGTTTCGGGCCAGAGATCGTTCCGTAGAAAAAGTGTTCGATCCCCGACTAACCGCGGTCAGAGATTATTTCGTGTCCCTTAAAACGACACTTCGGAGAAAGCAGAGCTGGCCGAAGTCCAGATAAACGTCTCATTTACCGTCGGACGGGTTTCTTTTTTTATCTTCTTCTCACTACCATGGCGACAAGGAGAAAATTTTTCGCGATTCCTTGGCGCTTTGTAATTCAAGGTAGTCGCTGGTGACAGGCGACGGCGTTGAACCCGATCGCGAGATACTTGTATTACTTTCGAACAAATCGTTTCCGAGTTATTCGTTTAGTAATGTAGAACGATTAATCGAATTACGCGTTACATTGTAACGAGATGCGGTCAATTGGTCAAGAATGGTCGATTCGTAACGATACATTGTAGATGCGGAAATCGATATATGCTTTGGCACTTCGCTAACGCGACGATAATTAACGCTAGCCAGATATTACACGTTCGCGACAATGGAGTCTCGTGTCCTTGATGTCGGAGTGTCTTTGTGCCGATTAACAATAAGCATCCTGGTAATTAGCGGTGGAACGTGACTCGCATCGACGATGCCCTCTAGGCTTAAGACAATTCAACCGCTGATCGCATTGCGGCAAGTTTGTTTGCAAAATTTGAATAGCTAACTAATTAGAGCAAATTCCATGATAACGATCGTTTCGGAATAATTGATATTAGGTTGAGCAACCGCGATTACGATAATTTCTCGTTAAAAGTTTTTTTCGAATCGAATCGACGGGTTCGGTCGACGTTCCAACATCGATCGTAGCTCTGATCAGCTCAATCGGTATTATCTAGCCCGGGACTGGGAGGGTGGGGGTTGCTCGCAGAGCAGGAAACGACATTATTTACGGGTCGGCTCGAATCAGGCGACTTCATCCAGCTAAGTATCGCTGAAATTGCAACGGTAACTGCCGGCTAGTGTTACTTCAATCTGCATAACAATTGGCCGAGCATCGGGCTGGCTGGACAGCCGGATGGATCTCGAGGGTGGCGAGGGAATAAATTATTTGGCCTTGACACTCGCGTGCGCGCGGAACGCCGATGAAAATTTATGACGACAGCTCTCAGATAGAACGGTCCGAAAAGGGAGGTACGGGGGGGGGGGGGGGCGGTGGTCGAAACACCGTGACGCGTACACACGAGCGAAATTTATAGGAAAAGAGAATCTTCTGGAGAAAGAGAGAACGAGATTACGAACGAGAGTATTCGAATATAGTGGACTTTTTTACACAGACTTCTGTTAGGGTAGACTTGTATATAAAACTCATTTAGTCTTCGCAAAGAAAAAAAATAAAAATTCAAGGACAAACCTTTCGCGTTCTTTGATCCGAAACAGCAACGAAGCGCGAGAGAACAGTCATCGACAAACGGATGTATGTGTAGACAGAACAAATTGGAGAGACACCGTTGGAATCAACGAAGGGATATCGAACGCTGCGGGATTTCGAATCCCTGGTCCCGTCGCATCTCCTCAACCGATCCCCGAGACTCTTCCGTGGTTTCTTTGATTTCTCGTTTCTCGATCTTTTCTACAACGTAGAATTCTTCACCGGTCTTTAGCCGTTCGTCTGAGTTTTCGACGATCATCTTCAACCGACCGATTCCGGTCCCGAAATTCCTCCTTTTTTCTTCGGTCATCCTCTGATCTCTTCCGAATCCAAGCATCTCTCCTTGGTCGTTCTTTCAGCATCCGCTTCAACGTTGATCACTGTTTCCGTCCGTCCGATCGATAGCACCCGTACAGCTCGACCGTTTTTCTCCAGTCTTTCGTCTTGGAATCCTCTCAAAAGAGTTCAAAATTCTTCGAGCTCCCGATCGTTCTTCATCCACTCGTGTCTGCGTTCGTTCGTGATCCGGCCTGTCTAGTTGGAGCTCCGTGGGTTTCTATCGGGAGATCTTCTCGTTGCACGTCGAACGCGCAGAGCCGTTGATCCAAGAGGGCGCAGGTGGATAGCATGCGTTCTGTCTGAGCTGCGGATCCACCGACAGGCTTTGTAACCGAATCATTAACGGGAAGCGAGTGTACACAGACCGTGGCGTTTAGTTTCTAATCGGGATGTTCATGGGGGAATTAACGGGGCTCTTGATCTTCGAGGACTGGAATTGTTCCCTTGAAAACGCTTTACCGTATCCGCGCTGCCGTAGGTAATGCAAACGATGATAACTCGTACATCGTGTAACGCCGCGATCGTCTACGAGCGTCTGTATCTACTTTGACGCGTTCAACCGAAGAAGAACATTTGCGAAACGTTCGACGCCGAGATCATTTTTACTTTTCGATTTTTTTTACTTTTTGGTATATTCGAGCAAAAATCGTAATATTTATCGTTCACCGATTTACTCCATACGTACCGACAATTAACGATTAAACTTGGTCGAATTTCACGTAGAACGCCTCGGCAATTCTGAGCCACTATACTATGAATGCCCGCATCTACTTTGACGTACCAAACTCTGCCACCGTACCTGCGAATCCTGCGATGCTTTGGGAACCGACGTCTGACCAACCACGGCGTAATCTACTTAAACATTTCACTGCAACCGTGGGCATGGCCGAACACGTCCGTTTCAGGAATAGACGTAAAATCGCGTTTACAAGAACGAACATATCTTACGAAAGGGATCACGCGCGTAATATTATTTCGAGAATTTTATTTCGTTGCTTTTTCTTGTATTGGCGTATACGAAAGGTTTGCGTCTCTCAAACCTGATATTAACGACGCGCAATCGAAGCAAGTAAGACATCAGGCGAAGATTTACAAGCAAGGGAGAGGTACCTTGACCGAGGATAGGCAAAAAGGAGCAGATTTTATCGTTCACCCGTGGCTACGATTTCTCGATCGTATTTTGGGTCTGAGAAGAAGGAAGAGAGTGTCCGACCTTTTTTTCGGGATATCCTGTTCGCCCTCGAATCGACGTTCCCCTTACACCCTAGTGGCGGCCTATATGTATGGAAAGGGGTGGATACGGCCGCTGTGCGTTCGGAAGCTCGTTGTTTCGTCTGCGCCTGATGGTTATTTTAAAATTGTCTACCCAGAGGAAGATTGATGATATTTTGATAGACTCCGGAAAGCTGGATACATCTGGTGCAACTTTCTTGGCGATCGGCGAAGTATACGATGGGTCTGTCGCTTCAGCGCGGGTCGATCTCGTCTTGGATCGTCACGAATAAAAAAAAAAAAAATTGGCAACGCTGTTGCGGAATACTCCTAGTTGAAAAGTTTCGTTGCGTTCCTTCGCGGAATCGATCAGCCGTAATTCGATCGAGGACTCGACCGGAGAAGCGACGGTAGAAAGTTAAACGAAAGAAATCGCGGCTTTGTGCTCAGGGAGTTTCGCGACGGCTCCGCACTTAATACCTTTAATATCGGCTTTTATTAAAATCTTGCGGCTGGGGGAGGGGGGAGGGTGGGGTGAATCGACAGAGACGGCGAAACAGCACGAGTTTAATAAAAGCGAAACAAGCGAGCGAGCTGGCCAACCGACGACGACGACAGAGAGAATATTTATCGAAGAAATAATTACAGGCCGGCCCTAGCTGCATCTTATGACCATAGAGTTGTTCGCGAATTCTGTATACATACTCCGATTCCGGTACCCGGTGCAACAGGGATGCGCAACACGCTAAACGAACAGAGTGTCTGTGATTGTTGCAAGCTATCTTAAACGAAGCGAATATCATGCATCGATTTCATTTTTCCTTGGAAAAATCAACGTTTTTGACGAAAGCCCGCTCAATTACGACTACGATTGATTCGGTTTGCGAGAACATTTAAGTTGCGCACCCCTGAAGCAAAGGAACGTTACGCGAAAGCAAATCTAACCACACGTTACGGTCGATGGGTGTCGAATGGGAACCCGCCACCCAGCGGGATTTAATCTACGCGAGTATTTACGGCGACTGATTCCGAACTGGTTTTCGAGAAGGAAACGCTTGTGAGTATCTGCCGTTCGTAGCGAGACTCTGGATCGTCGGTCGAGCGTAGCACCTCTCGAATCTCTCGTAGAAAGAACTTGGTTCTCCTTGATGGAACGAGGTGTTGCAATCAAGAAAGAAACTCGAAAAAATTAGAAGCATGCCAATCTGGAAGAATCTTGGCGTTTTCTTTTCTTTTTCTTCTGTCGTTTCTTCTTTAAATGCTTCGATCTCGCGTTAAGATTCTCTTGGGTGAATAGTTGTTTTAAACGTAACATACACCGAAGGCGGAAGGTTCAAGGTAATATCCGAGCAAGGTAAATAATTCTTCCGAAGGGCATATACGGTATACATTTCTCGAGATTTGTATTCGAGGTGCGGTGGTAGGCAGCAGAAGAGGCAAGAAGGTCGATGGACGATCGTAAATCAGAACTTACCGCGGAGTTTGAGAAACGTCTGAAAGGGTGTGCAGGTCGGCGCGGTCTGAGATTCCCTTTGAGTTTTCGAAATACCCGACCGACTCGTCGTTGCGGTACACCGTAAAAAGACCAGGAAAATCGAGAGGCTCGAAAGTACGCCCGTACTTCTTTCTTCCCTTCTTTCGGTCGTCTTCCACCCTCGTCGCCGGGGTGTCTTGCGTCGCTTCGGAGTACGCAACGTGACTGATTTATTTCCAAACTGCCGGCGAAGTGGCTGCGCCTCAGAGAGAACCGCGATCGATGACTGGAAGACCCCGTACTTTCCATTTCTTGACTCGTATTCGTTGTCATCGATCGAAAAATATTTGTCGTTCTTTCGTTCGATCGATCTAAAAATCGCAATCACGAGTCGTAATTAACGACGTCGAAATCGGTGAACTTCGGGGTCCAGCGTGGCGCGGCGGGAGCGAAGTGACCAATTACAAGGCGCGACGGAGACGTTGCCCTCTAGCTGTTTGCTCTCGAGGGTTGCCATTTTGATGGAGCACTTAATCGAAATTGAGGGGGATGTAGTTCGATGTGTATCCGTTAAGAGAGACCGAGCGAGCAACAGCAGCGGCGGTCTCCGTCCACTCCAGCATCCGTCACCGGGGAATTATGTACATCCAATAATTCAAAATCATGGCCGCCACATTAAGGTTTAGTTCGTCGCGTTGACGTTAGCCTGCGCCCGGCAAACTCGACAAAACTAATTTAAACTTCCGATCCGTGCCGTTGCGCGCGCCGCCACAACCCACGTGATTTTGATAATTCGGTTAATCGAAAATTCGGGAGAAGTTTGCTTTCTATCGGCAAATCTAATAGCATTCGGTGGACGGTGTTTTTCTAAAAACGAGTGCCCGGAATACCAAAGGCATCGTTTGTTCTCGTGGAAACGGCTGCGACGTTAAACCAGTCTCACTCTAGGCTATTCTAAACAAAAACTTGGAACTAACCGTGGCTTGTATTCGCGCGAGGAAACAACTTAATTATCCTGATCTAAGAATGCGTTGCGATGTGTAATCGCGCTACGAACTTAATGGAATTAATTTAAAGTTATAATCGAAGATGTGTTCCCCGCGCGCGCGCGGCGGCGGTCTTCTCTCCTCGTGATTTCGGTGGTCCGTTTAATCGAAATTCAAACGGATGCACTTTGGTATGGATATCCATTGGGAGAGTCTATTTGGTGGAGAGATCTGCGGAATCTATACCTAACAGTCTTAACTTACGATACTGATACCGAATTCACGAGCCTCGAGATCGATGCGTTATCGTTCATCGTAGAATCGTCGCCGCGATACTGTATCAGAATCCAATTAACCATCGGATCCCGTTCCAAAGGAAGGATATTTCCGGTTTCGGACTGCAGCGGATGAAGGGTCCCTTTGACGAATCCACGCGACTATAAGAATTTTGGAATTCATTTTTCTCTGGATCATTTCACGTCGAATCCATCACTTTTCGTAATCTACACGCGGTTGTCTTGTTCGTAGCGGTAGGAATTGTTAAATCGAAAAGTCAGAAAACGTGAACGTTCCACCGAATTCGCAAAATCCTATAAATCCACATATCGACATGAGGGCAGGGTCGCTTCAGACACGACGTTCGTATTTACCCAATAATCATGCTTGAAAATGTTGAATCTCGGCAAACGTCGTTCAACGGCGGACGGCAACTTGGTGGAACGGAGAACGATTGCCACTATCGATTTGCGAGGCGCCAGCGAAATTAACTCAACGTCCGTCAACGCGGTGTCGAACGCGAAGGTCGACGGAAGTAACGGATGAGGCCCGTTCCTTCGACGTACGGTAACGTCGAATCCCGGGCTGGAAGCGGCAAGAACTATACTATACGTCCGATCGACGCATCGTCAGTCATCGTAGCGAACAGACGAGTAAAGATTTTCACGGCAGAGGGATTGGCCGAACTCTCGAATTACGCCGTACGACGTCGACGACGTCTCACTTGCCGCCTGAAGGTTTCACCGTCTTCGAGCAACTCTGACGACGCGACGCCGAACTCGAGCTGCTCGAGGCATCGCGGACGCCCACCTCCTGGCTGATAAATTACGTAGAAAATGTCACCGGTCGTAATTTCTGCCGAGCTGTCGAGCCTCGGGGTTCAATTTGGCCTCGGGATATCGCTAGCAATTCTAACTCTCGTTACTCGACTCGAGACATTCGCTGAACGACACATTAGATGGATTTACTTACTCGTTACCTCTCAAAGAAGAAGAAGAAGAAGAAGAAGAAGAAGAATCGATCGCGCCGTTCCAAAATTCAAAATTCAAATTTAATATAATTTTCATCCAAGGTGCGAATAGTAGTCGATGTCTGACCACGCGTCGTCCTATACCACTTCTCGCGCTTACCATGCCCGCGGGTTATACGGAAAAATCCCAGACAACGCTCGCCGAACCACGCGAGCCTTTTACCGTCGTCCGGTCCTTTGTAACGTACAACTTTCAAACAACCAGCCAATTCCCACGGATGTAGGACACAGTTCCGTCATCGAGACCACGAACTAGCGAAACAAATCTACCAGAAACGAACGAACACGAGCTGGCCGATGGAATCGTTTCGAAACAACGCCAACGATCAGTTTCGTCGCAATCGAATCGTTTAACACAAATCCAACTTGCGATTCTTTATCCGTACATTTTAAAAAGGAAAGAAATGTTTGCTTTCGCGTTTACAGATAATAAATTTATCTTTTTTAGTAACGCGTTACGGAGTATTATTGGACGATCCGGCGATGTGTGGCAAAGTTTCCCGTTTGCCTATGGGTTTGATGTC